AATGCTTACTGAGTGACTGACTTTCATTCTGTAGATGAATAAGCTAAGGCACAGAGAAAAATGACCTCTCCAAGGTCAAACAGTGACAGAGTAAAGTGTAGAATTTGGAACTCCTAAATTGTAGCCCATTATTCTTTTCACAATATGATGATTATTGTCATTTTATTTAAAAGAGATTTTGTTTTAAAGCTTCAAATAGGAGAGGAAAAACATGTGGACATGACTGTATTCCTTGTGTTAAAAAAATGTTTTCTGGGGGTATGGAGCCAAGATGGTGGAGTAAAAGCAGTGACTTGATTGAACTCTCCCCCAAACCCCTCCAAATACCTATAAAAATGACTCTAAACAAATTCTAGAACAGCAGAATCCACAAAAAGACAGAGTGAAACAAATTTCCAGCACAAGACAACCTGGATGGTTGATAGGAAAGTGCAAGGCTGGGCTCAAACCACAGTTCAGCGTGGCCCACACAGGGCCAGGGCAAACCCAGAGCAGGCCTCAGGGGACTGAATCATGAGCAGATGTGGATGCTTCCAGACTTATCAACTCACAAACACCAAAGACAACTTAGAAGGTCAGTGGCAAAATTATGTTGGAGCTGGGTGAGAGAGGAGTGCGGTCCAGCCCTGGCCCTAGCATAGCCCTGGGGCAGTGGCCACAGGTGCAACAGTTGCTTCCAGAGCTCTGACCCCACAAACAGTGGGGGATCAAGTGATTGATCAGAGGGAGATTGCAGGGATCTCTTTGCTGGCACTGAAGAAGGATTCTCTTGCTTTGCCTGTGCTTGGATCTGGGTCACAGTCCTGCATGGTGGTCCTGGGGCAAGGGGGAACACTGGTGGGGAAGAGCTTGTGGTGGCAGTGGTGGAGGGAGAATCTTCCTCACAGTTCCAAGGCAGAAAATAGTACTTGTGAAAATAAAAATGACAAGTCTACCTAAGTTAATTTGCTTATTCAATGTCATACTGATCAAACTACCAAAAAATTATTTTGTAGAGCTAGAAGAAAATAACAAGATTCATTTAGAAGAAAAAAAAGTCCAGAATATCAAGGGAACTAATGAAAAGAAATGCAGGGGAAGGTGTCCTAGCCCTTCCACATCTTAAATTGTATTATAAAGCAACAATCATCAAAACTACTTGGTACTGGCTAAGAAATAGAGTGGTGGATCAGTGGAATAGGTTATGTACACAAGACACAGTAGTCAATGACTATAGTAATCTACTGTTTGATAAACCCAAAGACCCCACCTTCTGGGAAAAGAATCCACTATTTGACAAAAACTTCTGGGAAAACTGGTAAAGAGTATGGCAGAAACTAGGCACAGACCAAAATCTTATACCATATACCAAAATAAAGTCAAAATGGGTATATGATTTAGATATAAAGACTGATACTATAAGTAAACTTTGAGAGCAAGGAATAGTTTACTTGTTAGATTTATGGAGAACAAAATTTATGACCAAACAAGAGTTAGAAAACATTATGAAATGCAAAATGGATAATTTTGATTATATTAAATTGAAAAATTTTTGCCCAAACAAAGCCAATGCAACCTAGATTAGGAGGGAAGCACAAAATTGGGAAAGATTTTTTACAACAGTGTCTCTGATAAGGCCTCATTTCTAAAATATATAGAGAACTGAGTCAAATTTAAAAGAATACAAGTCATTCCCCAATTGATAAATGGTCAAAGGATATGAACAGGCAGTTCTCAGATGAAGAAATTAAAGCCATCTATAGCCATATGAAAAAATGCTCTAAATCACTATTTTTTAGAGAAATGCACATCAAAACAACCCTGAGGTACCACATCACACCTATCAGATTGGCTAACATGACAGAACAGCAAAATGATAAATATTGGAGATGTGGGAAAATTGGAACATTAATGCATTGTTGCTGGAATTGTGAAATGATCCAACCATTTTGGAGAACAAATTGGAACTATAGCCAAAGGGCTATAAAAATGTGTACACCCTTTGACCCAGCAATAGCACTTCTAGGGCTGTAGCCCAAAGAGATCATACAAATGGGAAAAGGACCCACGTGTACAAAAGCATTTATAGCAGCTCTTCCTATGGTGGCAAAGAATTGGAAATTGAGGGGATGCCTATCAATCAGGGAATGGACGAACATTCATGCTTATGAATGTAATGGAATACTATTGTGGTATAAGAAATGATGAGCAAGAGGACTTCAGAAAAACCAGGAAAGACTTGTATGGACTGATGTTGAGTGAAATGAGCAGAACCAGGAGAAAGTCATACACATTAATAGCCACATTGTGTGATGACTAACATTGATAGACTTAGCCCTTCTCAGCAATGCAAGGACCTAAGACATCTCCAAAAGTCTCGTGATGGAAAATACTATCCACATCCAGAGAAACAACTATGGAGTTTGAATGCAGATCGAAGCATACTATTTACTCTTTTTTTTCTTCTGTTTTGTTTTGTTTCTTCTTTCTTGTGGTTCCTCTTGTGGGTTCTAATTCTTCTTTACAACATGACTAATGTGAAAATAGGTTTAATAGGAATTTGCATGTAGAGCTTATATCAGATTTCATGCTGTCTTGGGAAGGGAGGTGGGGAGGGAGGGGTAGAAAATTTAAAACTCAAAAGCTTTTGGAAGTGATTGTTGAAAACTAAAAATAAATAATTTTTTTTAAAAGAGTGCTTATGGTTGCTCATAGACCAGAGCACAGGCCAGGAAAGCAGTAAACATCTCTCCTTTGATCACACCACCTTAGAAGAACTGAAAATTTACAGGTGCCTATAAGTATATCTGAAAACAGCTATACAAATCCCCTGAAGCTTGGGACAATAGACCCTCCACATTAGAAGCAGAGCCCTATTTTAATAAAGAGTTTAAAAGTCAAGTAATTGTCTGGGAACGTGATTAAACAGAAGAAAAAACTCAGACTGTAGAATCTTACTTTGGTGACAAAGAAGATCAAAACATACAACCAGAAGAAGACAACAGAGTCAAAGCTCCTCCATCCAAAGCCTCCAATAAAAATATGAATTGGTCTCAGGTCATAGAGAGGTCACAGGGTGAGTTGAATATGAAGGGAAAATATCTGAAAAATAAAATTAAGGGGTGAGAGAGGATTGTACTGTGAGAAGGAGAAAGGGAGAGATAGAATAGGATAAATTATCTCACATAAAAGAAGCAAGAAAAAGCTTTTACAGTAGAGGGGAAGAAGGGGGAGGTGAGAGGGAATGAGTGAATCTCATTCTCATCAGATTTGGCTTAAGGATGGAATAACATACACACTCAATTGGGTATGGAAATCTATCTTACCCTACAGGAAAATAGGGGGGAATGACATAAAAGGGGGGATGACAGAAGGGAGGGCAGATTGGGTGAGGGGGTAATCATAAGCAAACACTTTTGAAAAGTGACAAAGTCAAAGGAGAGAATAGAATAAATGGGGGACAGGATAAATGGAGGGAAATAAATTTAGTTTTTCACATGACTATTATGGAGGTGTTTTGCATGAGTACACATGTATAACATGTATTGAGTTGCTTGCTTTCTCAATGAGTGTGGGTGGGGAGGGAGGAAGGGAGAGAATTTGGAACTCAAGGTTTTAAAAACGAATGTTAAAAATTGTTTTTACATGCAACTTGGAAATAAGATATACAGGCAATGTGGTATAGAAATCTATCCTGACCTATAGGAAAATAGAAGGGGAAGGGGATAAGAGAAGAGGGGGATGATATAAGAGAGAACAGATTGGGGAAAGGGGTATTCAGAATGCACTGTCTTCGGTGGGGAAAGGGGAGAGATAGGGAGACGATTTTGAACTTAAAACCTTGTAGAAGTGAATGTTGAAAACTAAAGATAAATAAATAAATAAAATGCTCTAATAAAAAAATGTTTTCTGTCAAAGGAAAGCTATATTGCACTATGACTGTGTACTATCTAGGCAATCCACACTGCTAAAATCTTTCTCCATTGTATTTCCCAGGCTTACTGCTTGAAATCTCGTTAAATGGAAATTAATGAAGATGTTTACCAAATATTTAGTGGTCTCAGCAAGTATAACTTCTTCTGGGAAATTCCTTTTTGTGATGTTACTGAGGTCAGGAAACAGTAAATAGAAATTGTTTAATGATCCAGAAAAAAAATTTAAACAAAATCTATCTTAGGTTTAGAGGACAGAACAACTTAAAAGTTTTTTTTTCTCACCTCTGACTTATAACCAGCACAAATATCTATTTTGAAAGAGATCATGCATAGCTTTAACAGCTCTCAAGTACCACTACAGCATGAATAGTAGAATCATCTGATCATTATAAATACAGGGAATCTGCATTTACCAATAGATCCAAAGATGATCAGACTGTGGGACATGGGCTCATATTAACTAAACTCATAGGTCTGACTGTTAAACCAGATTACTACTTCATTAAATTTATGGTAGGAGGTTTATATGGCATTAGAACCCATATTGGTCATCTGAAAAGGGCACTCTATATCCTAGCAGATAAGTTTATTTCAAGTAGATAATAAAAGAATCAAACAGTTGCCTGGTGAGCATAGTATCAGAACAAAGGAAGGTGCCTATTTCTGAAAAATCTTCCATTAAGTCCTAATAGCCTGATAAAATACCTTCTTTTACTTTGTGGATATTTCTGTTTAAAAAATCACCAGCAATTGTCTAGACCCAAAGCACCCTCATCCTCTAGAAGGCAGAGGAAACACTGGCAAATTCTTCCTTGACTCTCTGTCTAACCTTCACCCCTCTAAGTTGCCACTACTCTGTTATGACAGCAGACCTTGCAGATAATCCCAGGGTTCTTAACCTGGAGTCTATGAACTTGCTTTTAAAAATATATTTTGCTAAGTATAATTCAACATAATTGCTTCCCTCTATATATTTTATTTTATGAATTAAACATTTTTCTTCTGACAAGTTTTTAGGTTTTACCAGACTGCCAAAAGAGCCATAATAAAAAAAGATTAAGAACTTTAATGCATCATTTTACAAGATTTTACACTCATTTTATTACAAGGAAACTGAGGTCCAGAATGTAGACATCATGTACCCCAAATCACATGACTCTGTGTTAAGACACCATTTTTAACATGTTATATTTTATAATGTTACTTGCCTATGGTTGCTTGAGAAAAAACTTTTGATGATCTTGGAGGCACACTTTCTTTGATGCAATTTGGAAATATTCTAACCTTATTCCCAAATCAAAATGACATCAGTCCTTAGGGTTAATTGCTTCTCTGTTTAGATAATCTCCCTTTTTAGAATGATCTGTGTCAGCTTCAGTTTCAAAGGGGACTCTTGCCAACCCTATCCCAGATTCTGATAAAGCTTGTCAAGAGTTGGAGCTTTCTACTCTGTTCACTGACAGTAGAATATTCCAGGGCTATTTATTTGAACAAATGAAAACACATCCCATAAGTTCCATAAGCCCCAAGTTTATAAATTCTGAAAAGGTTTTCAGGTTTTGATAACAATATGGTCATTTTATTTTTGAAGAAAACCATTCAGTGTTTGTTACAATTCTTGAATGTCATCTGAAAGTTGTTTGAACTCTGTTTACTGTTCAACTGGGACAGACCTAGAAATAAAGAAAGAGAAATTAGATAATGATAACACCCACCTTTGTTTTTCAATGTCTGAGGAACAACCATCCCTCCACATAATGTTTACTTTAAATCTATGTCATAAAAAAAAATTGAAGCAAAGCTATTTTGCTTTAACTAGATCTGTGATTTCACTGCTATAGATGAGGAGAGATGAGGTACTTTATCAATGCAGATCAGGTCTTCGCAAATAATGGTTTGGAGAGCTACCTGGGGCATTTGACCAGGGACGACCACAGTGTCATAGAGATAAACCAGGACTTCTTCAATCTAAGGCTAGTGCTCCATCTATGAAGCTGCATTGCATTTCACTGTTTCTCGTGGAACAATAATATTCCATTATATCTAGGTTCTATAATTTCTTTTTCCATTTCTTTATCAACAGGTTTCTACATTGACTCTTTGGATCACAAAATGTGTGGCTTTAAGCATTCTGGTGTGGATGGGACCCTACTTTGTGAATTTGACCACTCTGGGGTACATGCTTGTAGTGGTATTTCTGGGTCAAGGAGTAAAGACTACCTATATTACCTCCAGAATCAAATATAAAATACTCTGTTTGGCATTCAGAGCCTTTCATAACCTGGTACCCATTTACTTTTCCAGGCTTCTTACACCTTATTTCCCCCTTCCATACTTGACTACATTGGCCTCCTTGCTGTTCCTTGCACAAGACACTCCATCTCCCAACAATATTTTCACTGATGGTCCCGCAGGCCTGGGATCTCATTCACCTGATCTCTGACGCCTGGCTTTGTAACTTCTTTTAAATCTGAGCTAAAAGCCCACCTTCTACAAGAAGTCTTTCCTTATCCACCCTAATGCTAGCGCCTTCCCTCTGTTAATGATTTCCAGTTTCTCTATCACTTTATCTGGACAGAGTTGTTTACATGTGGTCTCCTCTATTAGTCTGGGAGCTCCTTAAGTTCAGGAACCATTTTTTTTCCCCTTTCACTGTATCCCCAGTGCTTAGCAGTGCTTGGCACATAGCAAGAACTTAATAAATGCTTGTTGACTCACAGTAATCCTTTTAAGTCCTTTCCAATTTCTTTTTTTTTTCTGAATTTAAGTTAAATGACTTTGGGAAATAATTCCAAATTGCTTTCCAGAATGGCCAGCCCAATTCACAGCCTCACAACAATGCAGTAATGGTTCAATTTCCCCATAGTTTCTCCAATATTTGTCATTTCCCCTCTTTTTCTCATCTTTGCCACCAATCTGATGGATGTAAAATAAAACCCTGAGTTGATTTAATTTTCATTTCTCTATTTATCTAATTATTAGTGATTATGGATCATTTTCTCCACGTGGTGGCTGATAGCTTGGATTTCTTCCTTTGAAAACTGCCTATACATAAGCTTTGACCATTTATCAGTAGGAGAAGGGCTCCGAGTCTTACAAATTTGATTAAGTTCCTTAGATATCTTGGAAATAAAATGAGCTTTTTATCAGTGAAACTTGCTGCAAAAAATTTGTCTCTCAATTAAATTTTTCCATTCTAATTTTTAACACTTGTTTTGTTTATGCAAAGCCTTTTAAATTTTTTATAATCAAAGTTGTTCATTTTATCTTCTCTGAACCTTTTCCTATCACTTAACATATTTACTTTCATGTTCCAAAAATCTGAAAAAAAAACCTTTTCTTACCTTTAGTATATTTTCCAAGCATCAATTCATTTGGAGCTTTACCTTTCCCAATGCTCTTACAATTTGTAATAAGTTTTTGCTACCTTTTTGAAATTTTTATTACATCTATATTCTCCACTTTCCATATTTTGTATGCTTAACCATTAAGTTTGAGTGCAAAGATCTCTCTCAGTAGAGTCACATTATCTTTTATGTGTTTAACCATTTTCTCCTACATTGTCTCCCTCATTGTTTACTCATGGTTGTTTAATCAGAATTTTAAAAAAGTCAATCTATCATGTTCCTATTTTCGACCTTGTTAAGTTTTTGAAAATTACTTTTCTGAAGTCTAGGGTGCATATATAACTAAGTTTACTAAGTTTACGGTTCCTTTTCTTTGATATTAGGAACTCCAAGGCAATATGTATATATATTTATATGTGTGTATGTATGTACGTATGTATATATCACTTTATCATAAGGTTCTTATAATTTCCATATGCCTAATTCTTCCTTATTAGTCAGAATTAAGACTGATTTAACTAGCAGTTGCCTTCATTGCTTCCTCTATATTTTAAGAAACAAAATTTTCACACATTTTCCCCTAAAACCACCTTCCACCTCTACTCCCAAATTTCCCTATTTCTGTCAAGGGCACTACCATCCTTCCAGGGTCCCATGTGTTATCTGTGACCCCTCACTCTTGCTCACCCCACATATCCATAAGTTCTCCAGGTCTCCAGTCTCCACCTTCACAACACCTCTCAGGTGTATCCTCTTCTCACTATTCACACAGCCACCTTCGTTGAGCCTCTCATTACCTCTCACCTGCACTATTGTAATAGCTCCTAATTGGTCACAAATCTTGGCCCACTTGAATCTATCCTCCACACAGCTGTCAAAGTGATTTTACTTAAGGATAAGTCTGACTATGTCATTTCCATACTTCATAAAAGACAGTGGCTTTCTATTGCTTCTAGGATCAAATGCAAACTCCTCTCTTTGTCTCTTCAGTCCCCTCACAAGCTACCTTTCCTGCCTCATTACAGGACAGGCCCTGCTCCTGCACACTACAGCCAAGCCAAACTGGCCTTCTTGCCTTTAGTCACACAGCACACTCTACACCTCCTAATTCTGGGCCTCTACACTGCACTGAAGGTCCTCAGTGCCTGTAATGGGCTCCCTTTACTTTGAGACTCAGCACAAATGCTACTTTCTACTTAAAGATTTCCCGCTGTCCTGACAAGCCCCCCCCAAAAAAAAACTTTCCCTAGATTAAAACGAGAGAGAATCTGTGTGTACTTTTATGTGCACATTGTCACCCAGAATGCCAGTTTCTTGCCTCGGTAACCTCAGAGCCTAGTGCACTGGAGCATAATAGATACTTAATAAATCATTTTCTTCCTCCAATGTGGTACCAAAACCATCATGCCCTTCCTAATCTTGGCAATGAATGGTCGTTCCCTACTTACATCTCTTATGACACTTAGTTTGACCTTTCCCAGTCATTTAATTAGAAATAAAATAAGAAAAATATTTATCACATATATTCTTTCCACTGTATTATAAGGTCATTTAGAGTACTTACACAGCTTTCATATTTTACACTTTATACACATCACAGTCACCTAGAAATTGTTTGTTGAAATGAACTGAATGTCAGAATACATGATACTCCCAATTAGTGGTATAGCTTGCCTCTTTGACAGATTTCTAATTTTCATTAGGACATTTTTTTTCTGTCTTCCTGGGCTATACTATACAGTGCTCTCTTTAGTTTCTCTTTCCTTTTATTCTAATCCTTTGACATTTATTACCAAGAACATGGAGCTAGCTTTGCTAAGGGTATAACCACATGTCCGTTCACCTAGATTTGTAACAGACTTTCTGGATTCTTCCCTTGCCATTAACACCTCAAATACAATCAGTCCCAAATCTTGTCAATTCCAACTCCACAACTGCTCTCATTTAGTCCCTCTTTCCGTATTCACACAGCTCCCACTCCAGCTCAGGACATCATCACATCTCCCCTAGACTACTAAAACAACCTGCTAAATATCTGGTCCCTATTTTCAGACTCATTGCTCTCCAATCTCTTCTCAAAGGTACAAAGTAATCTTGTCAGAGCTCCAGGCAGTTTTAGGGTGGAAGACAATTAAATTAGTCAACAATACAGACAAGATTATGAAGTAAAATGAGGCCACAAATGGTGAGATGGACCAGGAGAACAAGGAAGTATGGCAGAACTAAAAGTTGAGGTTTTGAAAAGGAGGCTGAGGAAAAGAGAAAAGAACAGAATATTAGGATGAGAAGGAAATTTCAGAATTCAAAATCATGGAACTGGTGAGCTAGAGTTAATCTTGAGCTCTAAATTAAACTCATCACTATATGTATCTGAAAGAGACTGAATTTACAGGTCATGAGAGTGTATAAGGCTATTTACCTGGAAAATTAAGGGAAATCAATATTTCATCTGATTTTTGATCTCATCAATGTGAGCACTCCCTTCAAAGGCAAAGATCACAACACAAATGAAGCTTTTCATCCAGTGAGACTCTTTTTCATGTTGTTCTATAAATCCTCCATGGGAGATACACTCAATCCAGTGATGTAGCATGGATAACAATGGAGTAGTGCGGCTATCTATCAGTTATCCCTCATTCTTACTAAAAGATCAACCCACCTCCTTTTTCTAATTTTACATTCCTCTGAAATAGCCATATTGTAGCCACATTCACTGTGCAATACCTCAGTAAAGTTGTATCCAGGTCCATCATGTACCTCTAAATAGTGTTTTGGGTCTTTAATTCTTTGGAAACTGTGGCATTCTAACAATCACTAAAAGCATATTAAGTTTAAAAAGATGTGTGTTTTAGGGAGAAACTTGGTGTCATTAAAAGCACTGTACAATTTTTCAAAAAGAAACCAGCCAAGTTTCCATCTTCTATTCAACCATGGGCTTCCCTATCTGTAGTGTCTAGCAAGATATATGGATTGTCCATCTAATATTACATATATATGTAGATATAGATATAGATATAGATATAGATAGATATAGATATAGATATATAGATATAGATATAGATAAGTGTGTGTATAGCTCTCTCTCTCTCCCACCCCTTCTAGGTCTTGATGACAGCCATTTTTCATCTATTTTTTTTCTTCTGTGTATAGAAGCCTGAACTCTATTGAGTGACTATAATTAATACAACTGTCATCCATTTCTATATGATTTTCTTTTCTATATAGAAAGCCCTTATCTCTCCAGGGAGTCTGTCTTGGACTCTGCCCTGGACAGCACCCATGACAGTGGAAAGTACATGTAGCAAGCCTATTATATTCTTCTTATGCTCCATTTGATATTAATGAAGAGACACCCAGAAGGCATGAACAAGCTGTAACTTATTACAAATGAAACATGCAGGACAAATGATATAAAAATTGTCAAAGAAAGATGGGCTTATTATATCAAGCTGTGTGCTCCACTGATATCTGTGGAACACCAAGAGAATGTAAGGAAAAACCAGCATGTTGGGTGGACAATCATGCAAAACTTAAGGAAGAACAGAGAAAAGAATTATGTATGACAGGCTAGAAAGTATCAATTGCCACCTGCATTGTTGGGGGTGATATTAACATTGGTGAGACCACAGAACCAATAGAATACTGGGAAGTGTACATTAATAACCAAAGGTCAAACCAAGTTATCTATGTATGTTATATACGACTTTAAAGAAGCGTGCTTACCCAACTTTGAAGATTGGCTTTTTACCTCGTACTGCCTTGATGAGGTCACTTTTCTCTCTCCCCAAGGCTACTGGAGTTGGGGGTGGGGGGAGCAGTGAGCAGGATGTGTCGAACCTGGGCGATACTTCTAGGCTTTCTGGGTTGCCCCAGGGCCCAAGGCTATTACCAGTATAGCCCACACTGTAGCTACTGCCTCTCCCCGCTCCTTCCTGAAATGTACATCATAATTTTATTGTAAATATTTGAAAGGAATAGCAAGTTATGCATAACAGACTTGGAGTTTCACATGCAATCATTTTTTTTATTATACTATGATATGGAAATGCATGTTTTATTCCACAAATTAAAATAAAATGATTTTTTTAAAAAAGAAACTTCCCACCATTTTGGTTTCCCTCCTCTATACACATCAGTTAATAAATGCCCTTCTTAAACACTTGCACCCAGAACTGCACAAAATACTACAGCTACAGCACAATTAGATAAATATGGAACTAGATGAATAGCCAAATGCAAAAAAACAGTCATTACCAAGTGTCATCTTGAAAGGTGTCTAGTGGATTGTGCCAGGGATTAGTGCTTGCTTTTGCGTCATATAACATCTTTTTTTTTATTAATAATTTGGATAAAAGCATACTTATCAAATTTGCAGATGACATAAAGCTGGGAGGGAAAGCTAACACACTGGATGATGGAGTCATGATTCAAAAAGATCTTGACAGACTAGGATTGTATTGAATTGAATAAGAGGTAATTTAGAAGAGAGGAAAATAAAGTTTTATGCTTAGATTAAAAAAAATCAACTTCACAAGTACAAGATAGGAGAGGCAAGAACAAGTAATGAAGTTAATGTTACGTTAGACTGCATTAAATGAGGTATGTGTTCCTGGAATAAGGAGGTCATACCTCCTCTATACTCTGCCGTGATTTGACCACACCTGGAATATCGGGTTCAATTTTGAGTCACATTTTAGGAAATTCATTGACAGGCTGGAGTGTTGTGGGGAGAGCAAACATAATGGTAAAGGACTTCAAGTATTTATCATGAGGATAACATGAAGTAAATAGGCATGGTTATCCTGGAGAAGAGATTTAGGAGACATGATAGACATCTTCAAGTACTTGAAGGGGTTGATACATGGAAGAGGAAGTAAATTTGTTCTGCTCAGCACTTGTCCTAAGTGGCCTTTTTCCCACCACTAGTCATTTTGATGGCTCTGACCCACTTCATGGTGTGAAGTCCTACTGGCACATAAACTTCACCCTATAGAGTAATGCTGTCATGGATCAAAACATTATGATTGGCTTCATCATAATTATTGTTATTGCTATTACCATTCTCTACTGAAACTACAAGTACAACCTCCATTTTGGGAGACTCCTCCTATAAGTAGCGGAATTTTTATATTAAGTGTGGCTTTTTGTAATTCTTTTCACTTGCATATTAAGAACTCATAAAGCATAATCACTTGTAGCCTCAGAAATCTATTTGCCAAAGGCTCAAGATAACTTTTTTTTATTTTATTTTTTTGGCTAGGCACCGGGGTTAAGTGACTTGCCCAGATCACACAGCTAGTAAGTGTTATGTGTCTGAGGCCGGATTTGAACTCAGGTCCTCCTGAATCCAGGGCTGACACTTTATCCACTGCGCCACCTAGCTGCCCCTCAAGATAATTTTTAAAAAATAACTTCTGCAAAAGGTTTTACCTTTACCACCAACCCTTCCCCCCAATCTAAGATAACAATAGCTTATGTCAAGGTCATCCATAGGACATGTCTCAAAAAACAATGATGGGGGGGGGAATCCAACAACAAACTCTTTTAAGAGTTATGCCTTGGCTCATCAGAACTCAAAAAGACTAACCACTAGTATAGACACGTACTAATGAATGCTCCTAAATCTTCAAGTACACCTGAAGCATTGGGGACCTCATGAATAACTATCAATGTCAAAAGTGAAGCTTTTTCTCTCTTTTTTTATTTTAATTTTTTATTAATTTATTTTTAGTTTTCAACATTCACTTCCATAAGCTTTTGAGTTTTAAATTTTCTTCCCCTCCCTCCCTGTCTCCCTCTCCAAGACAGCGTGCAATATGATATTGGTTTTACGTATACATTCCTATTAAACATATTTTCACATTAGTCATGTTGTAAAGAAGAATTAGAACCAATAGGAAGAACCACAAGAAGAACCAAACAAAAAGAATAGAAGAAAAAAAACAGCAATAGTCTGCTTCGATCCGCATTCCGACTCCCTAGTTCTTTCTCTGGATGTGGACAGCATTTTCCAGCATGAGACTTTTGGAGATGTCTTAGATCCTTGCATTGCTGAGAAGGGCTAAGTCTATCCAAGTTAGCCATCTCACAAAGTGGTTGTTACTGTGTACAATGTTCTACTGTTTCTGCTCATTTCACTCAGCATCAATCCATATAAATTTTCCATATTTTTCTGAAGTCTTCTTGCTCATTATTTCTTAGAGCACAATAGTATTCCACTACATTCATATGTATGAATGTTCAGCCATTCCCCAATTGATGGGCATCCCCTCAATTTCCAATTCTTTGCCACCACAGAAAGACCTGCTATAAATATTTTTGTACATGTGGGTCCTTTTGACATTTTTATGATCTCTTTGGGATACAGCCCTAGAAGTGCTATTGCTGGTTCAAAGGGTAGGCACATTTTATAGCCCATAGTTCCAAACTGCTTTCCAAAATGATTGGATCAGTTCACAACTCCACCAACAATGTATTAATGTTTCAATTTTCTCACATCTTCTCCAACATTTATCACTTTCCTGTTTTGTAATACTAGCCAACCTGATAGGTGTGGTGAGGTACCTCAAAGTTGTTTTGAATTGCATTTCTCTAATTAAGTGATTTAGAGCATTTTTCATATCACTATATTTCTTCATCTGAAAACTGCTTGTTCATATCCTTTGACCATTTATCAACTGCAGAAAGCTTTTTCTTTTTGTAAGCAAGAACAATCTAGTCCCAAAGACTTGTCCCTTGACCTTCATGTGGATACTGGTGTTTACATTAATGTGAAGTCTGGCAGAAAAATAGAAACTCTATGGATCCTGAGGAGTATCCCCTCAATATGGAAGCACCTGACAAAGGGAGCAATAAGCAGCTCTAATATCTTTCCACTTGCAACTCAGTGAAGATCTGGCCAGGGATAAATAATCTCTTGCAATAACTCAAATACTTTAAATAAGTCCCAGTGTAACATACATGAGTTATGCAATACGTTTTATTTTCACCTTATAATGGTATAAGGGTAATGTTTAGCACATAATTATTCATTTAGAAAATATTTGCTACTAAATGTTGGGGAATTGGCAAGACATCCAGACCACTTTAACAACCCTAAGGCCCTAATAATTAACAGCACAAACATAGGAAAGTGCTTAAGGGCAGATCTATAGGAGCAAATAAGTAAGAAGAGGACATTTAGGCTTTATGTCAGAAAGACCTTCCAATTAGTTATCCAAAAGTAGGATGAGATGCCGAAGGGAAAGATATGTTCCCCTCACTGGAGAACTTAGAGGTGGGAGGAGCACTGGGTGTGTTATAGCAGGAATTCTTTTTTCAGATATGAAAAATGAGTTTGACAAAATGGTCAGCTGAGGTTCCTTCTGGCTCTGAAGTTCTGTGGGGAAAAAAAAAAGTTTTGACTATTATCTGATCAAGTTCTTTCTGATAAAAAAGAATCCATTTCACTTTCTGAGATGTCGTTTGTTATTAGTCTGTTCAGTGCTCCCTATTCTCTTCTCATCTCAGCTATCTGCCATGAGGTCCTCTGTGAAGTCCATGAGCCTTTGGCCCTGACCTTGGTTTCTTATTCCTAACTTGTGTTCCTTTTCTTCTTACCATCCCCTTGTGCCCACCCACGCACTGAAGTTACCAGGCTACTCTACTTTGGATGATCTTAGTGAGTTCTCTGTACAATTTCCCTACCATTCCATCCTCTGCAACAAATGTTGGAGCATAAGCTGCAAGTATTGTGAGGTGATCTTCATATAAATATCTTTCAAGGGCATTGGCCACACAAGATGGTCAAATGACATGTTTAAGACACATGACAAACCAACTCAGCCAATTCCTTTATTCTCCTTTTTAAGGAAAGCCAAAAAACCTTACCTTTATCTACAACTCTCTTTATTCTGTTGGTTTACTTTGTAGCATAAATGTCAAGATTGATATAATTAAGTTGCTAGAGTATTGTTAGTCCCTGGTCACTAAAAAACTATCTTACATTTTAAGCAGCAGCAGCTGATGTTTACAGAAGATCTGGAGATTATGACTCTTTGCATTTTCGGCTACCCTTTCACTACCACTCTGCTGACATCCCTGAAGAAGCAGAATAAAGGGTACTTCTGTGGTTTTGCTTCTTGGCTTGCCACAGCCAAAAAATCCATTTCCAAGTGGTTAGCCTACTGGCTATGAGTCTCTTTCTATTTTGGTAGGCTCATCCTTAGAAGTGATACAACATCTGCTGCGGGGACCACACTCAACATGGTAAAACCTATTAGTGCTTATACTCTGTAGAAAGAGACTTCAAGAACCTAGGGGAATGGAGGATGGGGAGGGAGGGGAATAGATACATTACTGGAGCCAGGAGTACCATAAGAAAAGGGTGACATGAGGAGGTAGATCACAGCAAGAAGGATCATAGGTTTAGAAATGGAAGCAACTTTAGGGGACATCTAGTTCACATGCTTGCCCAAGGTCACACAGATAGAGGTAGAACTAGGATTCAAACCCAGTACTCTTTCTACACCACATTGCCTCTGAACTGAATGACACAGACAGACTCTAAACTTTAGAGGAAAGACTGCTGAGTGATAGTAGAAAATGGAGGGTTTGGAATTAGCACTAGAGAGTAAGAAGTATTCTAAGTTCTCTTACTCCTCATACAGTGTATTGGAGCTATGAGAGAAGGAATGGCCAATAAGCAAATATGCAATGTCTTCTGGAGAAAGCAAGGTTTCTATAAGAAGGAAAGAACACATAATGAAGAAATTGAGACTAATAAAAAATTTGTTAGCAATCAAGCAAAGGGTATGCCATCTTGGGGAGGGGAGAGGAGAAGGAAGAGGAGAAAATTTAAAACTCAAAATCTTATGGAAGTGAATGTTGAAAACTAAAAATAAATAAATATATTTTTTTAATCAAGTAAAGGAGTGAAGAGAGGGCCTGGGAA